CCACGAATGTTCAACATGATTACCACGAATATTTCACATGATTACCACAAATGTTTCACATGATTATCGTTAGTAATAAGAGTTTGCTTCTTTAGTTTACAGTAAAGCCACATTGGGCTATCCGCTATGTTCAACGCGAGGAATCGAACCTCGGATTTTAACGTTGTAAGTCCGTAGACTTACCGCTGTCGCACTGGGGGGTCAGTCATAAGATTCAAAGTTAACAAGAAACGTAGCAAGAAGGCTTTCAGACTTACCTGAAGTGGGTTAAATTTATAGACGTAATAATAATAATAATTAGAATAATATCTCGCTATCCAGAAACCTGACGTTTTGATATGGTGGGCCCCTAAGGTGCAGTACGATAGAAATCCATATATAGATTATGGACAACTTATTTTCCATGAAGTTTCTAGAAAGGTTTTCATATAATTGATAATTCTAGCACGAGACAGAACCCTCAAATATTGCTAGGATATTTTCAGGTAGCGAGTGGGCTCGAGATAAGCTTTTTTACTTTTAATATTCAACAAGCTGGTAAACAAGTTTACCTACATTTGTAAGATCCTTGAACTTCAGGTGTTTGATTAAACATTTACAGTTGTCATAGCCACCAATAGATTATCCAAACAGAGAGAGATATTCGAAATCTAAAAGCTGTGTTTGATAGTGATTTATGATATCACGAGTGTTCTTCTCATACGTGTGAATTCAGGGCCCAATAGATTATCCAAACAGAGAGAGATATTCGAAATCTAAAAGCTGTGTTAGATAGTGATTTATGATATCACGAGTGTTCTTCTCATACGTGTGAATTTAGGGCCCAATAGATTATCCAAACAGAGAGAGATATTCGAAATCTAAAAGCTGTGTTAGATAGTGATTTATGATATCACGAGTGTTCTTCTCATACGTGTGAATTTAGGGCCGAAGATATCACTAAGAGCGAGGTTATCCAACTGATGAAACAATGCAATGTAATCTTTATAAGTAACAACGCAAAAACAGGATTTTGAATTCGCTACAGTCATTACTGAGCTTCTTTTGATTTTTGATCTAAATAGGTAGTCTGCTCTGATGGTAAGTTGATATTTGTCGGTGATGTAAGCATTTTATAACTTATTACAAATGACATTTGCAAAATCCGATTCAGATCTCAGGAGTAAACGCACTCTTCTTTTGCTTTAGTCAATTTTGAATTTACATATCGAACCGCTCTGCTGATTGTTTGTTTTTTAATTTCTCGCAAAGCTACACGAGG